GATATTAACACTACTCCTCTAGGGAACAGACAATTGCAAGGAGTTCCTTGTCATAGATAGGGTAGTTCTGTTCTGTTACAGAGAGGGATTCCAATTGGAACACTATTGGATGCTACTTTCTGTCAATGAACTAGAACAGTACTGCTCCATTCACAAAGTCAGAAGAGTCAGCTTTGACTCAGAACTTGTCTACAACTGTTGGAACTACTAATACAGGCTTGCTAGTGATAGCCTACTTAAGGGACTCAAACACAGACTGTTACTGATCATCCTATTACTAAGGAACATTCTTGCCAGTAAGATTGTAAAGGGGCTGAGCAATGGTACTGAAGCTTTAAATAAAGTGTTAGTAGTAGTTTGCAAACCTAAGGAATGCTTGGACCTGTTTCAGGTTCTGAGGTTGTGGCCAGTTCCAAACTGTAGTCACCTTTGCTGGATCCATGTAGACCTCTCCTCTACTGATCACAAAGCCCAGATAATCTACTGACTCCTGTACAAAAGAGTACTTTGCTTCTTAGAGGAACAGTTTATTATCTCAGAGCTGTTGTAGAACTGCTTGGATCAGTCAGTAATGGTGCTCAACTGTCTGGGTGAAGATCAGAATGTTGTCCAGATACACACTAACATGCCCTGAGTCAATCAGATCCATAAGGATGTGATTCATGAATGACTAGAATGTTGCAAGCAAGTTGGTTAGTCTAAAGAACATTACAGTCAGTTTGTACAATCTGTGATTGGTTCAGAATGTGGTCTTCCACTCATCTCTGTCTTGGATCCAAATATTATTGTATCCCTATCAAATGTCCAACTTAGTGAAAACCCTAGATGTATGTGTCTTATCAATGAGCTCCTGAATCAGGGGGAGCAGGTACTTGTTTTTGATAGTACTCTCATTAAGACAATAATAATCCTAGACTAGGCAGAGCTTCCCATCTTTCTTTTTGACAAAGAAGAAAGGGGAGGCTATAGGAGACTTTAAGGGTTGGATCCAGCTGTTCTGAAGATTTTCCTAAAGGAACTTATCAAGTGCCTCCTGCTTGTCTCTGTTGAGTGGGTAGACCTTACAATCCTTAGGTTCAAAACCCTTGGTCAATTCAATTGTATGGTCCTAAGGACAGTGTTTAGGAAGCTAGTTGAATTCCTCTTCACTAAAGACTTTGGGGAACTCTTGGACAAAATCTGGCAGGCTGAGTCTGTGTGTGTTCTAGAGTAGAGTTATTCTAAGAGGGTTCTAGACTGGTTCTGTCTTAGACATCCTTCAGATTGACTCTATTCTGCCTTGACTGGAATATGTATCCACATATCTATCCTAGTCAAAGAAGAACAACCAGTCACCTTCATTAGAACTGTCAGTAACATTGGAAGTGTCTGTATCCACTTAGAACAGTAGTGTAAGGTAGCTGCAAGACTTGGGACACTGATCAAATGCAAGTGTCTACTCTAACCAGTCAATAGTAGGGTTGTGAGCCTTAAGCTATTTGAATCCAATAAAGATGTCTGTCTTTCTGAGGTTGGTGACTCTGAACTCAATGCTTTCCTCATGATTCTGAATGGTCATCTGTAGTTGGACAAACTCAGTGATCTGACTATTCTAGTTTAGGGTTCTGTCTGTATTGTATACTAGGATTGGAAGTGGAACACATTGAGTAGGGAGGTGGTGTTCCTGTATAAAGGCCTCATTAATACACAAACCAGTGTATCTACTGTCTACTAGAACTGTTGTTCAGATCTGGGAGGATCCTGAGAAGGGAGCTAAGAGGATAGGGACCTAGAGCTGGTGCCTAGAATGTCCTTAGATGAACTGCTGCTTGTTCTGAAGGGAATGTACAGCTTGTACAGCCTTGTTGTCTAAGAGGGTGAGTATATGCACCAACATTTCCTTATTAACCTCTCTCTTTCAACAAGGATAGACTCATGTCTTTAGCTGTGAACTCAGCTGAGGCTATCCCTACTTGATACTATAGACAAACTACTGAGTGGTGAACAGGGCTGGGTAATGTTCTGAATGTTCTGAGATCTTAGAACACAGAAGTAGTAGGTTGGATTGTACAGATTTAGACTTGGATGAAGTACAAAGAGAAGAATCAAAAGAATCAGAAGAAATAGGAGAACTATCTACTTTTGTTTTTGACTTTTTTCTTTCTAATAAATAATTTTGTTGATTTATTTTTTCTACTTTTTCTACTTTTCTTACTTTATTTACTTCTAATCCTACAGTGTCCATTGAATCAAAAGTAGCCATTAAAAAATCTGAGTCATAGCTCTTCAGTGTTACATTCACTGTTGAGCCTCTACAAAATCCTAGGGTATGTAGTCAGGGTCTAGGAGTTCTGAGGTGACTTCTGGATTTGTAGAAAAGGCTTCTCACCACAAATCCTGCTCATTACTCATTATCACTCTAATGACCTGACAGATATGCTGTTACTTCTGTAGGCAGTCCTTAATTTGGTGCTCTAACTTTCTACAGGCAAAGTATGCTCCTTGCTTTCAGGCTTCTCTAATGTTCATTAGAACAGATTGATTGCAAATTATGGGCAGATCAATCTGAGGGCTCAGAACTGTCAGAGTCAAACACATGTACAAGTGTTCTGTACAGACTTGACACATCCAAGCTGTGGCTTGGTTGAAGGAGATAGTGTGTGTCTTCCACTCAGTGTAGGTGACTAGTTCTAGTATCATTCTAAGAATCTTATCAACCAGTTCCAGGTGAAGAGCTTTTTCAAGCATTCTGATGAGGACATTATTGAACCCAAGCATGAATCCTACCTTCTGGGCCAGGATATCAAACTCCTGAAAAAAGGTATCAGCAGAACGTTTGCCCTGTCACAGAGACACAAGCTTGTTCTGTACATTGTACTTCTTATTCAGATTGATGAAGGAAGCACAGAGCTGCCCCATGAATTCCAAGTACAACTTGTTGTTCTGAAGTTGGATCAGGCTTCCAATCTAATGACCTTCAATCCAGTTCTAGGCCCAGGTGGCTGTGTTACCTTCCTTCATGAAGGAGAGGATGAATAGGACACAATTGAGATCTGAGGATAGATTGGTTGAAGTAGTAGCTATGTATAGTTTGACTTAGTGCTGGAAGTCTTTAAAGTGCTGCCCATTAAAGTCTGAAGGGCAGGCTACATACACTTTCTTTCTAGAACAGGTTGTAACTTCTAGAACGATTGGAACAGGTTCTGAAGGGGCTAGGGGCACATGGTTGGTAAAGGCCTCTTGGATAGAGGTCTGTATGTATTAAGCTAGCTCTGCTCATAACTGCTGATCTGGCAGGACAGTAGGGGTGGCAGTCAGTATAGTAGGGTCTATGTTTACACTACAAAGGAATCAACACTAAACTAAAAGGGGTAATGAATAGAAGAAGGGTGGCAAAAGTTTAAAAGGGTTTAGAAAGTTTAAAATTTAAAAAAGTAAAAGGGTCAGGACAAAGGAAAGAGATCAATGCAACAGTAAGTACTAATGCCTGAAACATAAGAGAGTTGTAGGGTAGTAATGAGTAGTCTTGATCTGATGTCAGCAACAGTATAGAGGGGACCTGAAGGCTCAGCAAGGGGACTCAGGCTACAACTATCCTACACAACAGAAATACAGAATGTAAGCACTAGAACATAGCTGGAACTTGCAGAACAGGCAGAGAGAGAGAGTGAGACAAGAGTAGAGTATATAGAGTGAGCCTAAGAGTACAGGACTACCTGGAGTAGACAAGATCAAGACTACTGGACCAGTCTGATCTTGTACACCTATATATACTAAACTACACAAGAGCACTTAGGGAGCATGAGCCACTAAGAATGATGAGCCATGAAGAATGAAAGAAAGGAATGTCAAAGATAAAGGTACAAAGAATGAAGGAATGGATAAAGGGTAAGAGACCATAGAATGGTACAAAGAATGAAGGGGTGGTCAAAGGAATGGAATGATGAAGTAAGGAAGGGTAGTAGCAAGAGTCAGCATGCATATAGTTCATAGACAGCACCCCCAAGGGACAGAAGTCCTGAGTTCTGGTATGGAAGGGTGCAGAACCCTTGGAACTGAAGGTATGAGAGCAGAGAACTGTAACACAGACAAGTTGTGTGAAGCTACAGGCTCTCAGTAGTAGCAAGTAAATACTATTCATTTTTCTCTCTTGTTACTGTTACACTTTAATAATCATTATCTTGTGCTAATTTCATACATAAAATATTCTTCAATTTGTAGCCTAAAGTATTCAGCATTAGGGATGTTAGTAGCTTTTCATAGAGTTAGGGCTCAGTCCTGTACTGTATTATACAGATACAGCATTTTCATATACAGTACAGTACTGTATCTGTATAAAAAATTGACTCAAAAATACAGTATGTATTTTACAGGCTGTAACCATATATAGTCTGTATAATACAGACTGTATATACCTGTATATAATATACAGCTACTAAATGAAAGAAACTCTTACTCTAAACATAATACTGAAGCTCTAATAAGTAGTATTCAATGTTCAGACACTTATACTAGCATTTACTAATATATTCAGCACTATTATTGTAAAAGTATGTGCAATCTGATATATATTCCAATATATAGGTACATCACATGACTCAACTTTATGACAAATATCACAGACTAAATTATATAACAAAATGTTAATAAGTCAAATTTTATACATTTCATGTAGATTAAGGCATAATATAGGTAGAATTCAAAATTACTATACTAAAGAGGTAATATCACAATGATGTAGCCCCTTACATTTCATGCTACACCTTGGTAAATGTAGCAACTACACTGTATCTGTATATGGTGTATATGTTCTGTATACAGCTGTACTGTATCTGTATAGGTTTTCGGGTTCAGAAATAAATACAGCACCATATTATACAAGCTGTATCCGTGTAAGGGTCGTATTATACGGCCCGTATCCGTATACGGTACGGTACCGAGCCCTACATAGGGTTACTGTAAGCAGCCTATTGTACATTTCTTCACACTTTTGGGGTGGCTTTAATCGCTTCGTTGAGTGGTCAACGATCCCAGTGTACAGCAGTATCCAGCAGAGGGTTGGGCCTGTTCGGTGTTCCATCACCCTTGGAGCATATTAAGGCGTTGGTAAAGAAGGATATACAACCTTGCTCACAATCATCGTAGTAGGGAAGCCCGGATCGAACGGGATGATACTTTCAAGGAACTTGATATGCTCCTCAGAAAGAGAAACCTTGAGCGCATCGATGTTCGCCATGAGATGTTCGACCTTACGGCCGCCGATAATAGGGAAAACGTAAGGTGTTTTCTGCATCACATACGCAATAGCGACAGCAGTGATATACTCCGTACCCATCTCTTTCGCAACTTTCTCCAATGCCGTACTCATTTTCTTCTCGTTTTCATTACGGACCCAATCCGGTTGAAATGCCGTGCGACCTTTTTCACCTGACGCTAAACGTCGTTCCTCTTCTGCGTCGGTACGAAGACGTCCGGCTACTAGGACGTTCCACGGTGCTAGTGCGAGACCGTTCACATGTGCCATCGGGATAATCTTACGCTCAAAGCTACGCTCCATGACGTTCCACGCCCCCTGATAAATGACAAAAGGAGACTTTCCATGGTCTTTCGCGTACTGATTAGCTGCAGAGACCACCCACGCAGGAGTATCGGACACGCCAAGATAAATAACTTTTCCTGCGACAACGAGATGGTGCAAGCGGTCCATAACCTCCTCGATTGACGTATTGAAGTCCCACCAGTGCACATAAAGAATATCAATGTACGATGTACGCAGTTTCTTGAGGCTAGCTTCCACACTAATCTTGAGTGATTTAGCGTTGTTTCCGACGTAATTCGCTTTTATAGCGATATCAGTTGCTGAACGCTTGAAGTTCGAAGTGTACTGTTGAAAAAAAAAATAAGCATGCGCTTCGCAAATGGTACTTAAATGTAATTTTGAACCTTCGTTGCAATTACAAGCTGATCACGGATGCCGCGCTTTTCTGCCCATTCTCCGATGAACATCTCTGATGTTTCTTCCTGGCTGTGGGGGAACAATCAGGCAGCGCAACGGGAGTTGACATGTGCACCAACTAGCTGTTTGCTGTATCAATGAAATTACCACCAGCATCGAAGAAAGCATCCAGAAGCCTGAAAGATGACTCCTTGTCCATCGACCCCATTCCTACATTTGACCATTTGTCGCCGATACTCATAGCTCCGAGCTGAAGCGGCGAAACGCGGACTCCCGCTAAGGGAGAGAGAACGCGATAACGACCTAATGGAGTCGGTGGCGGAGGCACAGGTTTCCAAAATGACATTGCCCGAGCGATAGAGTATCCTTTCAAAACGTGAGGGAAGTGGATACGCAGCAGTCGTATTTATACGGCTAGAACTGCCGGGATCATTCAGCAGTCCCACCATATTGTCATGAGTAGTAATCAGTGTCACGAAGCCAGCCCGAAATTCCGTCAGTGCGTCATGCGAAGGTGAGCAGCGTGGGCAATCTCACTGATTCTCAGGCTTCTGCACGGTGGAAGAGCGAAGATAGCACATGTGAACTAAGCCTGTACCAAAGTGATTTCTTGAGCTGCATTGACGGAATCAATCAAATAGACACGGATAATGTGCTTCACAATACATAGAAGCATTGAAAACCAGATCCGACCAGAATGACTTTGAAATGTCCTTCGGCTTTGCCTAGCATGACACGGGCTACCAAATTGTGAGTCACTCTAAGGTTGCCCACAAATCCAAGGCACAATGCACTCAAACTGATTATAAAGTCTCTCAGCATAGACTGATAGCAGTCCAGCCATGGCATTGGCAAGATGGGACGGATAATCGATCGTAGCTCAAGAAAACGTGTCAGTCCCAGTCCAATACCAAGATAATATTCCCACGCTAATACTACCAAATTTGGCTCAAAATATTGATGTCATACGATAGACCTAATGCAGTGTATGCAAATTTCTATCTTTGTCGAGCTGATGTACGAGTTATTCGTGCACCTGATGGCAGAAAGGTGGTGTGCAGAAAGGTTGAAGAAGCAGGCTAGGATAGGGATGTAAATTCGAACAGTTAAGATACCCGTTCTTGCGGTAGTAAAGCAAGGTTAGTCAGACTCTCAGAAAGGAGAGTGTCAGGAGCTGGCAATAACGCACTGTGCAGGATCGTTTCCTTGCATCAACTAGCAGAATTCCATGCTAGGAGGAAGAGCGTGAGGTTAAGCTTGTTAGTATGACCAGGGTAATCAATGTATATTTAAGCATAGCATATTCTTCAAAGTGTATTCACTTTTACATTTTCAATCTTCAAAAGTTAGGAGAAGGCTTGATAGGCTGGACGAGTGGCCAGCGATCCCAATGTGCGGCGTGGTCATACAGCGCAGTTGTCCTGTTAGGCGTTCCATCTCCCTGAAATTGTGTAAGTAAAATACACATAAAGATACGTGGAGATGGCACTTACAATCATTGTTGTCGGAAAACCAGGATCAAAGGGTAGGACACTTTCGATGTACTTGATCTGCTCGTCCGACAGGGTGATTTTGAGAGCATCGATATTCGCCATAAGATGTTCGATCTTGCGACCACCAATGATCGGGAACACGTATGGCGTCTTCTGCATAACATATGCAATAGCGACGGCGGTAATATGGTCCGTACCGACTTCCTTTGCTACTTTCTCAAGAGCGGCACAGACTTTCTTCTCGTCTTCATTCCGCCACCAGTCAGCACGGAAAATGGTACGGCCCTTTTCTCCTGAGGCAAGGCGTTTTTGCTCTTCAGCGTCGGTCCTCAGGCGACCTGCTGCCAAAACGTCCCATGGTGCAAGTGCAAGACCATTCGCACGTGCCATCGGGATAATCTCGCGTTCGAAGCTGCGTTGCATGACGTTCCACGCGCCTTGGTAGATCACGAACGGCGTCTTCCCGTGGTCCTTCGCGTACTGATTAGCAGCGGAGACGACCCACGCCGGAGTATCGGATACACCGAGGTAAAGAACCTTGCCAGCGACGACAAGGTGATGCAGGCTGTCCATAACTTCTTCAATCGACGTATTGAAATCCCACCAGTGTACGTATAGGATGTCGATATAGGTCGTGCGTAACTTCTTGAGACTTGCTTCAACGCTCAGCTTAAGCGACTTGGAGTGGTTTCCCACGTAGTTGGCCTTAATAGCAATATCCGTAGCGGCGCGTTTATAGTTCGTTGTATACTATTAAGGAAAATCGTCTTTGAGTAAGGCTTATCGAATTGAAAGCAAATTCAGACACTCTACCTTCGTTGCGATCACAAGTTGGTCACGAATGCCACGTTTCTCTGCCCATTCTCCAATGAACATCTCTGACGTCTCTTCTTGACTGGAAAACAATTAATATCAGATATAAGGCATAACGACGACCGGAAAATATACGTACTAGCTGTTGGCGGTGTCAATGAAGTTACCTCCGGCATCAAAATATGCGTCAAGGAGTTTGAAAGATGACTCTTTATCCATTGAACCCATTCCAAGCTTCTCCCACTGGTCGCCGATACTCATCGCTCCAAGTTGGAGCGGTGAGACGCGAACTCCTGCGCGAGGCGAGAGAACGCGATAGCGACCAAGGCGCGTCGCAGGTGGTGATGCAGGTTTCCAGAGCTGAGACATAGTCGAAGGTCGATAGATGTTAACGTTAAATGTGCCTCAAGTGGTGAGATGGAAAATAACCTAGCAGCATAGCTGTATTTATACCATGACAGGCCCTAGTACCAATATTCGATGTTTTCATTATCAAGAAGCAAGATCAGCGTTACTAATGCACTTTCTGCCTGTCCGCGCACCCCGACGACGCGTCATGCAAAGGCAAAGCGGCACAGAAAGACATGAGCTGGAGGAGAGACCAAAGGTGGTAGATGTGCGAAATGAGTACTTCTTCTGAACTCGTGATGACACATCTGACTTACATATCAAGGCTAAAATATTAATCCAAGGACCAGATACTGCCTTGCATTGTACCCGGTCCCCCATTCAACAAAAGAGAACAATATTATTGATACCACTAATGACTCACCACTTCCATGCTATAGAAGTCACAACTCGTTGAAGCCGATCGTTATGTTTTTTCAAGCTGAATGACTAATCGTTCTTCACGGAAATAGTTTTCCGCGATCTTCGTGGCTCGAATCAAGTTCCTGTATCCTGATTCTGTCTATCACGAAGTCACTACAATGAAGACAGACTTATGTTATCAGGCATGCATCTCCTTTTTGGATTGCTTGGTTTTCATACCTATTTCATTCTATCAGTTGACAGTTATACAATATGGAGTATTAATATATATTTCCCGTAGGGGTTCGAAGATCGATCCGGTGCCACTACTCCTTCAGTTTTTGGTAAATGATGTTAATATAATGTAAATGTCTCAAGATATATGCAAGACGCGTAATGATTAGCATTGTAATGCCCATGTAGTCTATCTATAAGATTTTATCAAACTTTTGATGCTCAATGACCATGACTTCAAGTCCAAGCACTTCTATTATCTGTGACGTTTTGTTTGTTTCTTGGTCAGTTTCATATATCTAGAAGTGATCTTGCCTAACAATCAGTGACCTGGATTGACATTACACTGTGCTTCGATAAGAAAGCATGTCCCAATTGATGCCGTTAATAGCGGAGCCGAAGCTCTCTGAAACTTGCAATTAGTGCTCCGCGCGTAGCGTATACGCTTACGCG